CTGCTGCCAATACTATACTATCTTAATCTTTTTCTTCATACTTTTAAAAGTATTACTGCTAGGTATTTGGTGGTGTAAATCCCACAGATTTTGTTCTTTCATCTTTTTGACTGCCTTGGCTTGATCTGGCATTTGAATCTGCATTTCAGTTGTGCATCCTTTGATGATTACTGAGCATTTTTCCTCATATAAGCTAGCCAGTTCAAGTTCTTTGGACATGAGGTAGTTTGCCTTTTTCATACTGATTTGATCTTTCTGTGTTAGGAAAGCTGCCTTTTACCTGTTAAATCCCACCTATTTTTAAAAAAATGTATTAAAAAGTATCAATTTTATTTTCCCCTCCTGGTTTTTGGTTTCATGCTTAGAAAATTCTCCATGCCAAGATGGCAGTACAATGTTGGCAAGATAAGTAGCAGAGGTATTCACCTCTTTATAAATTTTTAAAAATGTTTTACATTTTTATAATTTGTAAATTACCTTAAAAACAATTTGTTTCAAAGCTGGGCACAGTGGTACTGTAATCCCAGCAACTAGGGAAGCTGAGGCAGGATTGCAAATTCAAAGCCAGCCTCAATGACTTAGCAAAACCCTGTCCCAAAAAATTAAAAAGGCTGGAATGTAGATCAGTGGTTAAATGCCCCTGGGTTCAATCCTGGTACCAAAAAAAAAAAAAAAAAAAACTTTCAAGAAGACATTTCAGCCATTTCCCACTGTAAAATATACTGACCCAATAATTTATTCTAACACATCCAAGGTTTCAATAGCCATATTTATTTATTTATTTATTTATTTTTGAGAGAGAGAGAATTTTAATATTTATTTTTCAGTTTTGGGTGGACACATCATCTTTGTTTGTATGTGGTGCTGGGGATCGAACCCGGGCGGCACACATGCCTGGCAAGCGCGCTACCGCTTGAGCCACATCCCCAGTCCTCAATAGCCATATTTAAATCTTTCAATTCATGTGGAATTCATTTTGGTACATAGTATGATACCTCCAAATTTGTGACAATCATTTTTTGCAAACTTACCTCTATACCCTGGTTGTTAACTCTTTCCTTCTGTTCTCAGAGAAAATATGTATTTCTTTCCCCAATGTCAAATTAAGACTAATTCCTTAATTTATGAATGATGAAAGAGGAAAGACCAAAAAGGTCCAAGACTCATTATTTAATGCTTCTGCTCCTTAATCTATTTTCTGCCTAACTAGTATATTCAATCTCTCACTTTCTTTATTTCTCTCCCTTCCCTTCTTCAGGAGCAGTCAACATTCCTATTTCTTGACCTTCTATTCATTGCACAGCCTACTCTACTAGTATTTTGCTACTATGCCTTCATCTGAAACTACTGACCAAAATTAATATAGTGACGCTGGAATACACCAATCAAGAACATAGAACATAGGGAGGGGTTGGGTAGCTTAGTGGTAGAGCGCTCACCTAGCATGTGTGAGGCCCTGGGTTCGATCCTCAGCACCACATAAAAATAAATAAAAAAATAAAGGTACAATACCTTTGTGTCCAACTATAACCAAAAAATAAATATTAAAAAAATGTACTTTTAAAAAAATATGGGGGGGGGAGGCTGGAATTGTGGCTAAGTGGTAGAGTGCCCGCCTAGCATGCAAGAGGCACTGCATGTTCGATCCTCAGCACCACATAAAAATAAATAAAAAAATAAAGGTACAATACCTTTGTGTCCAACTATAACCAAAAAATAAATATTAAAAAAATGTACTTTTAAAAAAATATGGGGGGGGGAGGCTGGAATTGTGGCTAAGTGGTAGAGTGCCCGCCTAGCATGCAAGAGGCACTGCATGTTCGATCCTCAGCACCACATAAATGTAAAATAAAGATATTGTGTCCACCTAAAACTTAAGAATACAATATTAAAAAAAAAATAGGGGGGTTGGAATTGTGGGTCTGAGGTAGAGCGCTTGCCTTGCACAAATGAGGTACTTGGCTTGATTCTGAGCACCACATAAAATAAATAAATAAAATAAAGGTACTGTGTCCATCTACAACTAAAAAAAAAACACCACACACACACAAGGATATTCCCCCCCAGAGGGAAACTTTAAAAAATATTTTTAATTTATCAATGGACCTTTATTTCATTTATTTATATGTGGTACTGAGAATTGAACCCAGTGCCTCACACATGTAGCCAAGCGTTTTACCACTGAGCCACAACCCCAGACCTTAGTATTTTTATTCCAAAAATACTAAGGTATTTTGTCTATGACTATGCCTACTGGTAGAACTAGGGATTATAGAAGAGATCTGATTTTTTCTTTGGCTCTTAAATGGAGAAAACTGTAAACAATTCATTTTCTAAAACTTCTACAAGTTGGGCAGGGAATGAGTATCTATATTTATGTGTGGACTTAAAGTGCTTAAAAAATGCTTTATGTGTGAGTACTGTATTTAAATATCCTTCTTATATCTCCATTAAAGAATGGAATCCTGGGCTGGGGATGTGGCTCAAGTGGTAGCGCGCTCGCCTGGCGTTCGTGCGGCCCGGGGTTCGATCCTCAGCACCACATACCAACAAAGATGTTGTGTCTGCCGAGAACTAAATAAAAAATAAATATTAAAAATTCTCTCTCTCTCTCTTTCTCTCCTCTCTCACTCTCTCTTTAAAAAAAAAAAAAAAAAAAAAAAAGAATGGAATCCTGAGCTGGGAATAGTGGTGCAGGCCTGTAATCCCAGTGACTTGGAAGGTTAAGGCATCAAGTTAGAGGTCACCCTTGGCAAATTAGTGAGGCCCTAAGCAACTCAGTGAGACCCTGACTCAAAATTTTAAAAAATAATAATAGTAAAAAAAGAATGGAATACTGATTGACTTTCTCTGTATTTCTATAGGTGTTCATAAAAAATTAGTTCTATGATATCTTCCATTAAAATAAACTACTACCTGAAGATACAAATTCTTTCCAAGCAAAAAAGCAAAGTACTCAGAAACTAAACCCTAGATTTGAGAACTTGACTCAATTACTTAACTTTCTCACCTATAAAACAGGGTCATACTCTACTTCACACAGTTTAATTGTGAGGCTAAGACAATATAGGTCAAAACACTTAACACAGTTCCAGGCACATATCAAATACCTTCCTTCACTTTAGCACAGTACCATATTCACAATAATATACAACCAGTAAGGAGTAAAGTGTGACTGGCATGGAAGGAAGTGCGCGCCTGTAATCCCAGGGACTAGCCTGTAATCGTATAGCAACTTCAAGGCCAATTTAGACAATTTAGCAAAACCCTGTCTAAAAAAATACAAAGGACTGTAGAGGATAGTGGTAAAGCACCCTGCGTTCAATCCCCAGTTGTTTCTTTTTTTTTTTTTTAAGGAGTAAAAGCATACCAAAAAGAAGCAATTTCAAAACTTTGTGAACTATGTGAGACAGAAAATGTGGCAAAGCACCATCTGTTCATACCAGCTAATAATAATCTTCAAAGGAAAACCTTCAATTAAAAGTAAAAGTTACTAAAAATGCCCAAATATTTTGAAGAAATTCAAATAGCAAAAATAATTTCCCAGTGATTTCCTCTAAAAAGTGTACCAGATTACACATGATTTAATAAAATGGACAGAGATAGCACTCACAAAACTGCAGTTGTCCAGTTTGAGAAAGATCTAATTTGTCCTTGGGGAAGAATTTACCTTAAATGAACAGTATTTCCTTACCTATATACAAAAGTAAAGCAATGTATCAAGGAATTTGAAAGGAGGGAAGTTTTCCTCTAAATCCAAAGATAATAATATGCATAGCCAAAATTAACCTTTTCCAAATAATGGGGGGGGACACATTTTAATTGTTAAAATTAGGACAAAGAGACTGGATTTAGCAGAATGCAGTATGCCAGCTGCTAATCCTGAAAAAATATTCCGAGGATGGAGAAAGAAGGCAATCTTCCCAATAAAACTTCCATAACATACCATACAGATACATGAACATACACATCTGTTAAATATCAGTTTACACTGTTCCAGCCAATTTACAAATCAAGAAGAAGTATTTAAGATTTAAAAAAATAAATCCTATCCTACTTCTAGTTACATTTTGCGAGGCAGCTACTGGTGACTAGGGGTTATCCATGCTGATTCAAGGCAAGCACTGAATAATAAATCCAGTGTTCACATTCAAATGTGGAGGGGCAGAGGAAAAGGGAGGCTCCGAGTTCATAAAGTTCTCCTCCCTCTGAAAACACTGCAAAAATTGTCTAAGAACACTTACCCTTGAAACTCCTTGGAGACTTTTTGTTCAGAGATTTTTGAGGGGGAGCGACATAGGAATGCTGCACGATTGCAACTTTCAAATACATAATTTAAATTTCTAAATTTTTTTTTTCTTTCAGGAAATTTCACCCCTTCCTTCTTCTCATATTAATAAAATCCCCAATTCAACACCAAATGTCAACCAGAAAATTCGGAGCTTTAAAGTACATGCAAATAAAGCACACAGACTATTTCCAATACCCAACTCCCTTCCAATTGGGATCAAAAAGAAGAAAGGAAGCAACGCGAGGCGGGGGTGGGGGTGGGGGTGGGGGGGATACTTGGGAAAGAAGGGCAATGGGGTGAGAAAGTGGAAGGGATGGGGAGGAGCAGAGCAAAAACTCCAGCTGCTGCTGATACTTAACTGAAAGAACAGAATGGAAAATATCTGAAAATATAGAAGAGAAGGATGGGACAGAGGCGCAACAGAGGAAGTCCACGCAAAAGGCCTACTCCAGGGGGCCACTGTGTAGAAGGGAACACCAAAATGGGGTAACACTCATTAGGAAGAAATATTAAGGCCCTAAAGTTTAGGAGAGAGAGGATGAGAAGAGAGGGTGTTTCCTGTATTGGAATCGTGGATACCGCACCAGACGTCTCGGCTGCTAGCCCGCTACGAGGGGTGAGGGGTTAACTGCGGGGGTTCGCAGACGTGGAAGGGGGTGCGGCTCCAGAGGTTGCGGCAGGAGAGCCCGGAGCAGCCAGCGGTCCGTACCTTATAGTAAACATCAAACTGGATGTTCTCGGGCAAGGAGCGGATGTCTCGGCGGGAGCGGATGTAGTTGTCCACGACAGCGGAGATGGCGGTGTTGTACAGAGTCTCTGGGATCCACTCTAGTTCCACGGCCGCCATCTTCCTTCCCTCCTCCTCCGCCTCCTCCGCCTCCTCCTCCTCCCGAAGGCCCCCGCCTCCCTCCGTAGCGAACTCCTCTGCGGCCCCGGAGGATTCGGAGGGGCGGTGGCAGCCACGCGGGCACACGGTAGAAGGGCACGGCAGCCCTGGCTCCTAGGGGGCGAGCTGCAGGGAAGCGGCAGCAGACGCAGGCGCGGGTAGAGAGCGGGACAGGGAGCAGCAGACAACCGGGCCGAAGCCTCACATTCCGGGTTTGAGAGGAACCCGGGTTCCGTCCCAGCGCCGATCTCTGCAGGGGCGGGACTGCGTGTGCGGCGTCATGACGTCAGCGCCACGCCGATGCGCTGGAGGGAAGGAATGCGGCAGGCGGAAAACTTGGGAAGAAAGAGCAACGTCCCTCCCACACACATCCTACTTTTTGAGGGGCCTGGGATAAGGGTAGATGCGAGACTCTGCCCAGGGATAAACTATTACAAGTTTTCAACCCTCCATTATGAATCACTCGAGTCCTTCAGCAAAATTCTGTATCGGGTTTCTTGGATGCGGATCCTTTTGAGTTTCAGGTAAAAGTTTGGATCCTCTCCCTAGAAAAGTACACAGTAATCCATACGTTGAAAATTATGCATTCAGGGAATTCACAAATTGAAATCCTTCCTTAGCCAAAGTCCTAAACCCAAGTTCAGAAACCACTGTCCAGGAACTAGAGATTATGAGGGAAGGGATTGCTTTTGATTGTATGACCTATTCGCCCCGTTGGAACTTTTATCACTTCTTAATCCAAGTAAAATTTACAAAAATAAAAAAAGAATAGGAGTCGCTCTAGAAGAATTGAGTAGAAAGATTATCCTGATTATGGCTGACACAAAGACAACTGTAGTGGTAAGATTTTTAAAAAGGCTCATTCGTGTCTATGAGAGGACTTAATGATAGAAACTAGTATTTCAATCTTCTTCCAGGATTAACAGTCCGACTTTAAAGGATTATCGAATAAATGGGAGTCCTTGTTTCAGCTGCTTTCCTTCCTCCACCTGAACGTCTGCTATTAATGTAGTTTAATTTTATAAGTCTGTGATTTGAAGAACTTGCAACATCTTTCTGTTGTAGGAATTTAACAAGGAAATTATTGTCATTGCTGTGGATGACACTATCTCATAGTCACTCTATAACAATGTAAATACTGAAGACAGCAATAATAATAACCTGATATTTAGCTGTAAAGGAAATGGAAGGGGTTCTTTAAATTTACCCTTCACCCAGGCATTTCAGTTAATAACAGTGGTTAGATAACTTAGTGAAAGAAAGAAATATGCCATGCCATAGTACAGGCCTGTAATCTCAGCTACTCTGGAGACTAAAGCTGGAATATTACAATTTGGAGGCCAGCCTGGGCAATTTAATGAGAGACCCTGTCTCAAAAAAGATTGGAGGGTGGGGATGGCCATGGAAAAGCGGCATATAACTCAGTGGTATAGCACCTCTGGGTCCAATCCCCAAGTACCAAAAAAAAAAAAAAAAGAAACACATTTAGTCTTCAGTCTATCTAGTTATTACTTTATAATCCTAATTTTATGATCCTAAAAAAGATGGTTGGCAAATGTAGCAAGAGAAAAATTATAAATGCCAAATTACATTTTAATTTCAGATATACAAGTAGTTTTTAAATATAAATGTTTCCATTATGTTAAGCCAAATAAGCCAAAATTAGAAGGTTGAGGGGCTTAAATTTTCTCATATGTGGAAGCTAGAGAAGGAAAAGAAAGGTGTGAGGGAATGTAGCTCAGTGGTAAAAGTGCTTGCCTATCATGCTGTGGGCTCTGGGCTCAAAAAAGAGAGAGAGAGAGACATTGTGAACAATGGGCCTCTTAATCCTTTCTTCACTGCTTTGAGACTGAGAGTTATTAAAATGTGTGAGATGGACTTAGAGACACTGGACAAGATGAGACAGACCAGCCAAAATGATGAGGCCAATGAGAAACAATTTATCGTGAGGGTTAAATGAGTCAGGACTATTAGACTGGCATCTATACGGAGGGTCAAGGGTCAAAGGGGAGAATTGACTCCTGAATTAGAATCCATCTGGAGGCTTAGACCCTTGAGAACTGGTGAAATGAGAAACCATTAGAAATTAGGCCATTTTTATTGTAGACTGTCCTCAACTGATGGAAGAAGGGTTGTCCTTTTCACTCCAGAAAATTAGGTCTGCCAGAGCTCAGATTTGAACTCAGTTGTTATACTGTGCTGTTGTTCATATTTTGAACTATAGCATAGAATCTAAGTTTCTGGTGGTCAGGACCAGATCAAAAAAGGGCTTATTATGCTGCAAGTGGCCTTGGACTTTATCTTGGAGACAATATGGAAGTAAAAGAATCAGACTTGTGTGTCAGAAACATGACAAGTTAGGTGTGGTGGTTCATGCTTGTAGTCCCAGGTACTGGGGAGGCTGAGGCAGGAGGATCATTTGAACCCAGGAGTAAGGAGACACTACCTCAAAAAAAAAAAAGAAAAAAAAATGAAAAGAAGCCAGGCATGGTGGCACATGCCTATAATACAGTGGCTCAGGAGGTTGAGGCAGGAGGATTGTAGGTTCAAAGCCAGCCTCGGCAACTTAGTGAGGCCCTAAGCAGCTTAGTGAGATCCTGTCTCAAAATAAAATGAGGTTGGAGATGTGGCTCAGTGGTTAAGGCACCTCTGGGTTCAATCTCCAGCACCACATACAAATAAAAAAGAAAAAAGAAAGAAAAAGGAAGGAAGATGGCAATAATCTATGACTAGCAGAGAGAAGCAGAAGATTTAGAATTATGTATTCCCAGCTCCACAATACACAAGAGGCCTGCTAAACTATTAAGCTGTCATGGCTTTTTTAAAATTTATTTTTTATTATTTTTTAGTTATAAATGGACACAATATCTTTTGTTTACTTAAATTTATGTAGTGCTGAAGATTGAACCCAGTGCCTCACATGTGCGAGTGAGCCACAACCATCAACTGCCACTGAGCCACAACCCCAGCCCCCTTTCATGGCTTTCTATATATTTTTGTGCGCAAAGGAACTTTGTGTTACGCACTTGCACAGTCCACTAAATTCCTCCTGGTATCTTCAAATTTGGCAGGAGACCCTTGCATGATACAGATATATATGAGGACATGTCCCTGGTCCAAAAGGATTCCTGAGGATCATAAGAGGCTATGATATCCATTGTGATTTTAAATGGCAGTTTCTTTGAAGCTGCCATCATTGAGAAATGGAACCTAAATACTTCCACTTGAATCTGAGGGGTTCTGACTGTATTGACCAATGGAGTGCAGCAGAAATGATGCTGCATGACTGCTGGAATTAGATGCGAATGGCCAAGAAGAGTTCACCTTGTTTTCTGAAATACTCTGATCCCTAAGGCACCATGTAAAAAATACTGAGTATCCTAAGGCCACCATCCACTGAGGCAACACAAGCCAAATGGAAGGCTAAATGGAAGCATTGGTCCATAGTCTCAGAATCATTCTGGCCCAGCTACCAGATGTTTTGAACAAAGAATCTCTGAATAATTCCAATTTTAAGACATTTTTGTCACCCTCAGTTTTTCCAGATGAGGGCATTATGGAGCTGACACAAACATCCCTACTGTGCTCCATATGAATTCCTGACCTACAGGGACATTATAAAATACTTGTTCATTCATCACTAAGGTTGAGGTCATTTATTATGCCATAGTAGAAAAAAGGAACACCCCAGTTATCCAGTCCCCTAAAGTTTCTAGAAACCCATAACCTGGGCTGGGATTGTACCTCTCTAGTAGAGCACTTGCCCAGCATGTGTGAAGCACTGGGTTTGATTCCCAGCACCATATACAAATAAATAAAGGTCCATTGACAGCTAAACAAATATTAAAAAAAAAAAAAACATCACCTTAAACTCCATAATGAAACTGTTCCCTCTCAAGTCTGTATATATATTACTAAGCATATTATTTTATTCATGAAAATAATATAGTTCTTTGCCTGTGGTTTCTTAACTTTCCGATGGTCATTCTGTCACACTAAAAGGCTGAACCATGGGATATCAAAATGGAGACAATGATATTTGTCTTAAATCTGAAGAGTCTTTTTCAGAGTCCTTCAAACCTAAGTCTATGAATTATATTCAATACCCACACATTAATAACCCCAGACTAACGGTCACATGGATCTCCTAAATAGGGTCTTCCAGGTGTACCTAAGACATCACAAATCATATAAGAAAAATGATCCATGTAACTTGCAGCCAACAAAGATCAGAGCAAGTCTTTGTCAACAAGCTTTGGTCATGTGGGAGAAACAATACAGAGAGGAAATCCAGCTTAATTTCAACCCTCATCCCTATATCTGCTTAAAGATTCATGGACATGTTCATAGTTACTGTTCATGTTGTTTTGACTTCTTTAAATTCACCCTGCTTAGATGTGGCATTCCATAATCAAGATAGTTAAGTTACCTGATAGGTTTTTTTCTCAYTGTTTGTTGTTGTTGTTGTCATTTTTTGTTGTTTTTGTTTTTGTTTTAACTCCATGTCTTCATTAACATATATACTATCCCCATTTGGACCTACAAAGCAATGGAAAATATAGCCTATGATTTGCCAGTCCTTGTTTTGAGGAAGCCCACCTGGAATACATACTGCATTCTTATCCTGACACTCTGAAATAATGGGTATAAAAGGACTGAGTGGGTTTTAAATTTGTGGTGACAGTGTTGATCCAATGTAAGGCTTAAGAATCATTCTTGGAAAGATAGACACACAACCAATAACAATGCAAAGTCAGAAATACTGTGATAGAGTTTTCCCAAGATATTGTAGGAATTTCCATGGGTAAGATAATGACTTGGGTTTGGATGTAATAATGCAGCTCCAAGTAGGTCAATTCTCTCAGTATTTTTAGTTGCAATGAAGTTCTCAGGAAGATAACACTGGAACAGATTTACTTGAGCAATCATAAGTGGGTTCATTTTCATTTACCTTGATATCATACCTGGTTAAAATTTCTTGGGAAATCTATCAGAATACCTGGGAAAATTGTGAATCAAACTCATAGTTCTTCATTTATGACAGTGAAAAACTAACTTTTTCACTGAGATAGAAAATAAAAACAAGTAAACTACAGGCAATATGATATAATTATATAATAGTAATAACTCTTGTGCTATCTGATGGGAATACTGTTTTCCTAAGTGATATCATATACCTCCAACCTCCCACCAAACATTTTAATTAAAAATATTTCAAATGATCCAAACCTTGAATTTTTAATTTAAAAGAAAACATAGGGTTGGGGTTGTGGCTCAGTGGTAGAGTGCTTTCCTAGCACACGTGAGGC